CTTTTTTCTACTAGGCCCATGCTTAAGAATAAACAAACCTGTACTGTCAATCACAGAGGTGTAGTCTGAGTCTCTGGGTGTGTGGCTCCTCCACACCCTCCCCCCTGCCAACCCCCCCACTCCCACACACACACACCCAGAGCTCTTCCGGAAGGAGATGATGACCTGCAACAAGAAGAGGCAATCTTGGACCTCTCAGTGAGGCTTAGAGCAGCATTATGTGAAAGTTTGTCAGGAAATCTTATCGGTTCTTTTTTAAATCTTTTATTAGCTATGTTTTATTTATTTTATTTTTTTTTAAATCTTTATTGTTGAAAGTATTACATATGTCCCCTTTTTACCCCATTGACCCCCCCCCCCCCCAGGCCTTCACCACCCTATTGTCTGTGTCCATGGGTTATGCATATGTGCATACAAGGTCTTCCGTTGACCTCTTACCACCCACGCACCCTCCCCCGCCTTCCTTCTGAGGTTCGGCAGTTGCTTCCATGCTTCTATGTCTCTGGATCTATTTGTTCATCAGTTTATTTTGTTCATTAGATTCCACATATGAGTGAGATCATGTGATACTTATCTTTCTCTGACTGGCTTATTTTGCTTATATACATTTACACAATGGAATACTATGAAGCTATAAAAAAAGAAAGAACTCTTAACTATTTGCAACAGCATGGATGGGCCTAGAGAGTATTACTAGTATGCTAAGCAAAATGTTCCCTGTTCTTGAGCCTGCTCTGCACCTCCGTGTGCTCACTTCTAGGCAGTATTGCTGGAAGGTGGTGCTGCCCCATGGCCAACATCCCTGGGCCACTTCCTTGGACCTTCATAGGGAGTGTCCCAGGATAGAAGCTGCGTTTGTGAGGTAGCGTCTCAGGAGGGGCTGTGACTGCGTGCATGAGCATGTGTGTGCATGTGTGCTTCGTTTTTGAATACATGTCTCAATTTTAGTTGTGTTTATACAACTGACATTTTTATTAACAAAAATTATATATTTTATAAACTATACTAAATATGCTTTTCCTGGATCCCTTACAGAATAACTGTAGGGGTCTCTGTGCTAAAAAAATTGTTCATATACACAGCAATTTTAAACAGCTGGCTGTGGTGTGTGTGTGTGTGTGCGCGCGCATGTGTTATAATATTAAAGAATTATGTTAAAGAAGCAAAGAGAGTTATTTGCTTAGGTTATATTTTCATTGAGGATTCAGCAAGTAAAGAACCACTCAGAGGCCTTCCATTTACTAATGTTTATTAATGAGCAATGAAGAAATGCTTTAAATTCTGTGACGAGTCCTGGTTTGTTTCCCAGCTGAGCCCTAGCTCTGGTCCCACCTCCTGCTCCAGGCCTCCTAACAGGAGCAGGAAGCTCAGGCACCAGGGCATGCGGCACAGCAGCCCTATCGGCTCTGTACCTGTGAGAATCACCTGATCAATCAATACCTGTTCTGGTGGATCCTGGTGATTTTGAAAACTGCCAGAATAGATTTTAAATGTTAGAACGTCCTTGACTTCTTTAAGTTTGTATGTCCAATTTCAGTTGTTTTACCAAATGCCTGGGTTCTATAAAGAATAGGTGGCTCAAGTATTCTAATTTTGGTTTGCCAAACTTCCTTCTTGTTCTACTCAGAAAGTAGAGAAAAAGCAGAGTCTTCTATACGGAGTGTGTATGCATTTCATTGGGAATCTCTCTCTGTCTTTCTCTCTTTTTAACCCTACATTGCATAATATGGTGAAACTACCCCCCCCCCCCAAAAAAACACGATGATATAGAATTCTGATGAATTTTACTTATACTATTATTCATATTTCAGAATTTGCTAACTCTGTTGAAAGATAGTTGGGTCAAGAGCAACCTTCTCAATGTTGATCATGCCTAAAACTAGCACAGCCTTGCGGTAGCTGTAAGGACTCACAGAGTAGAATTTTTGTAAAGTCCTGAAGAAGTAGCATTCTTTGCTACTTCTTTGGCCTGCAAACTGGAAAAGGAGTGGCAGCAGCTTACACGGGACCATCTGCACAGTTTGTTTTCGGTAGCTCTGATCTTTTTCACCTGGTAGATCTGACTTTGTAGTTGGAAACATTTCGCTTCCATCTCCCTGCTAGTTCTGAATATTGTGGTGTCTGTAAACCTAATCTAGATGAAGATTAACTCCATGCGTGTTCTTTTGTAAAATCTTTTGAGCCATGTGACGCAATATTTTACCAGTTGGAAATCTTTACGTGCCCCAATTGCTGTTATTCCTCAATAAAAATCAACTTAAAACCAGCTTGATTACCTGGAGTTTGGGGGGGAAATTGTTGAGGAGAGAAACAGATGTGTCCCTCCCAGGCCAGTGCCAGCAGCGTGAATAAATGTCCTTCCAAGGCTACGGGACACAAATCAACAAGGTCTGACTGACAAAAACAGTTGTCCCTGCAGTAAGCGTCACCTACAGACTGCTCTCCTGGTTAGACTGTCACCTGGCTAACGCTGCTCTCGGGATGGATGTGGTGGAAGTGGAATTCAAAAGATTTTGGAAAAAAAATAAGTAAAAACTATCTGATCTTGAAAAACCAAAAAGCTTAAATATTTGATGCAGACGTACTGAGCTACAACACATGTATCAATATCATCTTTAGTTATTCCATAGGTATCAACATTTGTATTTAGAAAATACTTGAATTGATTCTGTGATTTCATAATTGGTCATTTTTTAAGTATTAGCATTATTCATGTTTGACTTACCTACTTTGCAAAGCTTTGGGTAACCTTTTCATGTTAATTCATCAATGTCAAGATGACATTATCTGTATAAGTTGTGACAGCTTCCAAACTGATGACTTGGCTGTTGACAGCTGAAAGATGTGTACAGGTTGCCGTAACTTGATATGTATTTTTGTTGAATGAAGTTTTTGTAAAAAAAGAAAAATTTATTTACAATGTTATTGAATGATTTCTTGTAAATGCTGTGAATCTATATTTGTTGTTTTGTATCTGTATATTAAACTTAATTTGCCAAACTGGTTCTAGCAATGCATTGCCATGTTAGAATAGGATTTTTTTTTAATGGAGAGAGTATGTCAGTAGGGTTTGTGGGATTCATAACTCATTTCCTGCCTGGGTATTGATACACTTCTTTTCAGTAATAACTTGTCCGCTAATGAGCTGGATCAGACCATGGACAACTCTGAGAGAGAGCTCTGAGGGAAGCAAATAGGGGCCACTTGAATGGAAAAAGTCACTAAATGCTGGAACAGGCCTGATAAAGCCAACACCTGAAATGAGAAGTCCTATTTTGTAGTGGCAGCTTTTACACAGATGGTGGGAGGTAGATGCACAGAATGTGTTCGCCTTTTCATTTCCCTGCTGCTGGCCAAGGAAAAGGCAGGCCCCTTCCCCAGGAGATCTGCTTGTGCCCTAGGCCTGCCTACCCTCAGGGGTGGGGTAGATAACAATTTCCTCCTCTAATTTACAGCTCAGAAGAGCTAGTAAATAGCCCATTGTTTGCTGTGACTGTTCTCAGAAAAGGATTCCTATAAAGGTGGCCAGGCAGCCATTCCCACTTTTTGTTTGTTTACTCTAATACCCTCCTACTTCCCAAACTGTTTCCCCTCCTGGAGCTGGGCTGATTAGGGGGGGGGGGGGGGGAGGCTGGGACAGGGGAGGGTAAAAGCACCAGGAACCAAGTCTGCCTCTCAAAGGTTGGCTCCCAGGGACTCAGGCTGGTACCATAGATAGGCAGGAGTGAAAATAGAGGGCTGTGCCCTAACCGGTTTGGCTCAGTGGATAGAGCACCGGCCTGCGGACTGAAGGGTCCCAGGTTCGATTCCGGTCAAGGGCATGTACCTTGGTTGAGGGCACATCCCCAGTAGGGGGTGTGCAGGAGGCAGCTGATCGATGTTCCTCTCTCATCGATGTTTTTAACTATCCCTCTCCCTTCCTCTCTGTAAAAAATCAGTAAAATATATAGAAAAGAAAAAGAAAATGGAGGGCTGTGGCCATTTCCTCTGGCAGAGTCCTGGGGGGAGATGACATGAGCCACCTACCCTATGTCCGGGAAAGCCCACCTGAAATGTATGAATCCTCCAAAAGGAGCTTATGGTCAAAGAGGGAAGGCAAACACGAGGTACAATTACAATTGAGAGTGAACTATGCACAGCAGGAGTGTGTACATGCTATGAAAGGCCTTCAGGACATGGGGTCCCTTCCTCTGGTGGCGGGTGGCGGGTGGGAAGGCAGCACACAGGCGGCCAGGGCCCAGCGGGGCTCTGGAGGGTTAACTCAGCACAGCAGGGCGGGGAGGTTTGCTGGCCAGTGTGATGCAAGTTGTGTGAGACCACAGTGTTGGAAGCTGGGATTTCATTCTGTACGCAAAGGCTTTAGGGAAGGGATGCAAAGGCTTTAGGGAAGGGATGTTGTAGCTCATTCCAGTGGCAGAGAAAAGGGTGGATTGGAAAGCAGAGGCAGGGAGGTGATTTAGGACAGTGGTCACCAACCTTTCAGACCTCACGGACCACCATTGGTCCACGGACCACCGGTTGGCGACCGCTGATTTAGGAGGCAGTGTCCAGTGAAGATGCCACGGGATAGGAGAGGGCTGGGTGTGAAGGATGCTCAGTGGTAACAACAGGTCTCAGTCAGCCTCCAGATGTTGGGAGAAAGATAATTTCCAAGTTCTGCCTTGGGGTGATGGGTGGGTGCTAGTGCCATAAACAGATACAGAAAATAGAGCGTGGAGGGGTGGGGCAGGAGTTCCGTGTTTGGATTCGAGACAGGTCTGTCCTGTGGGTAGTGAGATGAACAGAGGGAAGCCCAGAAGGGAGGTCAGGGCTGGCGATGGAGGTGGGAGGGCGGGGAGCTGAGTTTTCTAAACTCAGTGGAGCTGGTGGAAGATGCTACCTAACTCAAGTGTGGCTGCAGTTTTGACGCTCTTCCAAGACATTTGTGCCTCTCTGTTCCCGCCCCTTCCTGCTGTTTTGCAGATACATCCACCAGGGAATTGTATGTCAGGAAGGTGTGATTTTATTTAGTTTGTCCTTGAGTCCTGGTTTGCGCAGCACCTGGGTGCAGCCCACAGCCCTGGGGAGCAGGTAAGTGCATTAGGAAATAATTCTTTACATTCAGCTTAAAGCATCAGAGTCCTAAAACTGCCCTTTTATTATTAGTGTGTGACAACCCTGCTCAGTTATTTGCAAAGTAAAAAGGCAGATGTCTGCAGAGTTTTGGGTAGGAAAGGAGTGAGCCAGTTCCAAAATTCATTTGTGAGGAAGAGGCTAAATAGGAGATGAAGCAGATTTTGACATTCTTCTGCCAGAGCTCTGAATTGGCTGGGAGGAAGCCTGAAACCATAGAAAGCCGTAGAAAGAACAGACTTTTCTAGAGCAGCTTGTCGATAATTTTGTGCAAATTTTAATGTGTGCATTTATATTTATGGCTATCTTAATTTACACTAGTGTTTTTTTTAAAAGCCCCTCAACATATGTTGAAGAAGGAATACCTAAAGTGTATAACGTATAGAGCACATGGAAAAAAATGTATTCGGTGAAGGCAACTCAGAGATTTTTAGATTCTTAACTGCCAGCTCTGGGGGGGATGTGGGGATTAGTTCATCCCTTGCCCAAGCAGCAGGGGCTCAGCGTGGTTCTGGCCAGCCTATGAAATCTCAGTATTGAAACATTTAGCTTGGCCATGAATTAGTCATCATGTCCTTGGGGATTGAGTAACCTTTCATCAAGAAATTCAGGAGTGAAGGAGAAATCTAGGTCAAGCATAGAAGAAACAATAAAGAAATAAGTTAACTGAGTAAGGACCTGTTTTATTTGGGATTAAGAAACAGTAACTCGGGAGTCATTTGCAGCCTGTGTCCTGGGCCCCAGCGTGTCAGGCTGTGAGACGGCAGCAGCTTCCTGAGGTCTCGGCATTCGCGTTGATTGTATTGATCTGCTCAAGGCAGTGATGATTG